GTTGTTGCATGAAGGTAACCCCCCTCCTCCGAACTAAGGACGTTATGTTTTCTGCTGTATATGTTTATATACAACGTACATGTATGTGTGCGTCTATGTTGAGATTGACGGCTGATATATTGAGCTCCGCAGCTTGATGCTTGTTACCTGTCTGAACCCGGTGATCGGATATGACATGGCCTCCGCAGTTGCTAAGAATGCGCATAAGAAGGGATTGACGCTGAAGCAGAGTGCGATGGAACTGAAAGCTCTCACCGAGGAGGAATTCGATACCCATGTCCGCCCGGAGTTGATGATCAGCCCCAAGGAGAGAAAATAGAGGGCTGTATTCTCTCAACCATGACACTACGAGAGAGGCCTGTCTGGTTGATTTAATCCCATAATGAGCAGAAGCAGAGGAAGGTAGCAGCATTGGGACTAGTGTGGCATTTAAGCTGGTATTTCGTTCGTTTTTTTTGTAACAATTTCATTCTTGTTTTTACCCTTTAGATGGAAGAGATTTCTTCCCTGAGTGAAAACTGCATTTCACATTTTGAACAATGCCTTTCTTTGCCTGAGTAGCCTTACATGAACCGGAGAAAGCCAAATCTGGCCAAGTGCGACGCGTCTTCCCCGAGGCTTTGTTTGTCAGAAAGGTTGAACATGGTTTGTTGTTATGACCATAGATCTTTCCCCCCCCCCCCCGGGAAGTGGGCCCGCAAGGCGGATGTCGACTTGTTTCACACTCCAAATCTTATACAAGCAGTGCTGACTTTAAGGCTTGCTCCTGTTCATTTTGCTGTTCTTCTCAAGAACACTTACAGGAGAACCATCACCAGGGATGAACCGGAGGAATACTAAAGTTGGTAGAATCAGCTTAATGAAATCATACTCTTGCGCACTGACTTGTTCACATTGCAAGGCGTTTGAAAGGCTTGTAGAAGATTTAGGAATATTTATTTTCTTAAGGGCTTTCATGGAGTGTTCATCATTTTACTGGGTCACTGGGCGGAGAGTTGCAAAATCCATGCATCGCGTCAAGACTTTTTGAACCCCAGTGACCCTCACAAGTTAGGGCACGAGGTTAGAGCTTGATTCCTGGTAGAAACAACACAAGTATCAACTTTCCTTTCTTTTTCCCCTGGCTTTTTCTCTTTTCAGCTCTCTGCTTCTGAGCTAGCTAGCTGTGGCCTCCTGATACCTCTCTTGTACCATCTGTTGAATCCTGCCACTCTCGATTCCGAGCCGGTTCTGCTGCAAAAAAAGAAAGTAAGAAGATGACTCATCGGACCCAACTGGTTGAGATGTATGGGGATCTCAGTAATGTTGACCCTCAGCTTGTTGTCGCCCTTGAGAAAAAAAGCATGCTGAGGACCTGGGTTACCGTGAGCCTGTGATAGCAGAGTTGACAACAACTGATCCAGAGGAAGGCAGCTGCATTGTCTGTCGTTGTGCCTAGTTTCTCCCCTTGCAGTTTGGACCTTGCGGGCATGTTGTTCTGCGCCGAGTGTCTGTGGACTGTTCTATACTCTGACAATTATGCCAAACCCTTCATGCGTGCTTTGCCGCTCCACGAACTGCGACTTCAGATACAAACCAGGAGTACAGACCACCTTAACCGACTAGCTGACTACCTGCCTGCCTACCTGCCGATCTATCTACTGACTTGGTTGAATGAATGATATCCACTGATGATATCTGGTGATGATATTCAGTAATGACATATACCAATGATGTCCATCGATATCTAGCAATGGTATCTAGCGATGACATATACCGATGATGAAATATATCGATCATATCTACCGATGATATATAATATCTAAGAGCATGGCTTTATGAGCTTCTTGCTCTATCGTGTCCCAGCTGCATGTTTCATGAAGCTCCTGCTATAGAGTGTTGTGCCTAAACTGTCCAACCCTTTGAAGCAATTAGAGATGCCTTACATCCCCTGGGATTTAGAGGTTCATTTGCCCAGCCCCAGAAGGGGGGTGATAGGGGTAGGCTGACCCTACTGTATATATGCTTGATGTGAGTTGATGTCTATACACCACACAACAAGCACGCTTATATACAATCAAGATACATTTATATGTTTATATATATGCTACTTCACACATCTTCTTCTTTCTTCTTTTCTCTTCCTTCTCTTATAGTAATTAGCTACTATTTACTATACTACTACCCCCTAATATTACCATTATTCATCCCTTTTTACTACAGTGCTATGCAAGACCTTTGAAACTTTTATGACTTTTCATCAATATAGGCTGCCTATCTATCACAAACTAGCGCACCGCACATATATGCCTCAGCTCCCGACATGCTAATTACAACCACTTAGACATCCCACATATACACTAATATCCAATTTAGCACATACTGTAGTAGTTAGTGGTAATTATAGTGCCACATGATATTAAATTAGACTCATTTACCTTGAACTATTCTCCCATTTTCTATCAATGTAACGGGCGTACTATCAATTAACAGACTAAACACTATCTTAATACAGAGTACGAATTGATTAAGGAAAGCAAGAGAAAAGAGATCAGAAGGAAAGATTGTACAAAGGGATTCTTATAGAAGAGGAATTGGAACAGAAGAATATCAGAGGTCACGCAACAGTGGGGTGTGGGGTGGAAGAATGTTAAGGGGGAACTACTCTGTAGTTACACAGAGGAATCATTAGGGACTAACGTAATCAACCACTCAACGCCCGTCTACACTCAACGCCCGCTATTTTGCCACCACTACAATGAAATCTTTTCATTAATATCTCAACAACGCAATTAGATTTTAATATGATATATTATATGATGAAAATATATATAGAAAATTTACATATAAAAAATATATAGCTAATTCAAAAGATGTTTGTTGGGCTTAAATAACTCGCCCGGAACGCGAAATCTTGGGTGGAGGCAGATTCAATGAGCAGGCAGCGGTCAAATCCGTAGGGGTTGCAATATCATCCGGACCCCCCGGCGGCGGACCCGCGGGCAACCTGGCAGAGCTCTGAAAACGCGATTTAGCCACTCTTTGCGAAATCGAGGGTCTGATTTCCCGATTAGGAAGGTGATTTTTGGACCCCCGAACCTGGCCCCCCCCAACCGCGATTGCTGCCGCGCAGCAGCTCGTTCTTCCTTTTCCTTTTGCTCTTGGGCCTTCTTTGCATCCCTAAGCTCCCTGTCAATCTGCCGTTGAGCGGCTCTTGCGGCCTTATCCATCTCCTTTTGCTCCTTAGCTGCCTGGCGAGCTACCTCCCGCTCCATTCGCTGTAACATGATATCTGTCTCCTTCTGCTCCTTAAGAATAGCGTGTTGCAACTTGGCATCCTCCTTACGAGCCTGTTCATCCTTTTTGGCGGCCTCTGCGGCAGTCATCTGCTCGCGGATGCTCTGCACCTTTGCCCGGTGAAAAGAACTGTGCCAATGACGGATTTGAAGAAATCTAGCAACCCCATTGCCCTGCCACGCTTGCGACGTCTTCTTTCCTGATTAAGAGCTTGCTGTAGCTGCCTGTTCTCTATTAAAGAACCTCTTTATCAAGAGCAAGATTCTCTCCTGCACGGATCACCTGGTTGAGATCGCTAGATATTCGACGCTGCCGCTGCTTGACTTGCTTGACTAATTTCCGCATGCCAATAATAGATGTAGGGGTTCTGGGTCGATATTGCGCGTCTGGAGGGGTGCAAGGGCGTATTGCAAGCTTTTTAAGAACCTGTTCTGGATCAAATGGATGTAGGCCAACCGCAGCGAACGCGGATATAATATTTGAGGATGTAACTGATTCCTTCCAAGCAGCATCAAATAGCTGCCAAAAAGACCTCTTTGTAGTGCGTACAAATCCCATACCGGTTCTCATTCGCTCATTCAAATGCTTAGAATATGATTTGCTCAATGGTCCAAATATCCCAACATCTAGCGGTTGTAATCGGTGTGTAGAGTGGGGAGGAAAGACAGCAAGTAAAATCATTATGCTGAGCCGCGTAATTGATGAATGCCATATTAACATGGGATGAGTGGCCATCTAATATAAGAAGCCTGTATCCACGCCCTGCTTTCTTTTTTGTATGAGGTTCAAAGATCTTCTTTAACCACATTAACCCATATTCATCATTGCTCCATCCATTCTCTGAAGCAGCAAAGTAGACCTGATCCTTTTTGCTATCAAAATCTTCCAGCCAAGTATCTTGCATATCCCTTGATTCCCCTTGATATATGAGAGCAGGTGGGAGTGAGGTTCCATCGGCGCAAATTGAGGCAAGTAGTGTAATGAATTCGCGGCTGCCATCCTGGCTGGCACCTATTGTACGGCCGGATTTGAGCGCATTAATTGATACAATACGCTTGAGGGTGTGGATGAAGCCCAATAGGAATCCTTTTTCATCGAAGTTGTAGATATTCCCAGGTTCAATATTGTATTTAGTGATCTTTTCCTGTAGCTGCAAATCAACAATAAATTAGCAAGATAAAAGTAAGAAAAGCAGTAGAGAAAAGCAATATATACAAGATCAAAATAATGCTTAAAGTATGTAGAATTGTCCGCAATCTTGCGTTTTTGGTCGATATTTCGCAGGTAAACTGACTTGATTACATCCTTGTGGCGTTGACAGAACCTTGCCACCCAGTTGGCTCCAATAGGTTCATTTTAATATCTCAACAACAAGATTATGAAGGATTTGGGGCGTACAAGGGAAACCGCGATCTGCCAATCGATTGATATGAAAAAGGAGTAGATTATTGTACAACGCCGTCCAGTTGTCCCGCTGCATAGAGATTGTTTCCACTGTGGACGAATTCTTCCCATTCTGAATGAGTTATTAAGCCCAACAAACATCTTCTGAATTAGCTATATATTCCTATATGTAATTTTCCATATATATTTTCATCATATAATATATCATATTAAAATCTAATCGCGTTGTTGTGATATTGTTGAAAAGATTTCATCGTAGTGGTGGCGAAATGGCGGGCGTTGAGTGTAGACGGGCGTTGAGTGGTTGATTACGTTAACGTAATCAACCACCCAACGCTCGTTTCCACCCAACGCTCGCCATTTCGCCACCACTATGATGAAATCTTTTCAACAATATCTCAACAACGCGATTAGATTTTAATATGATATATTATATGATGAAAATATATATAGAAAATTACATATAGAAATATATAGCTAATTCAGAAGATGTTTGTTGGGCTTAATAGCTCATTCAGAATGTGAAATCTTGGATGGAGGTAGATTCAGAGAGCAGGCAGACATCGAATCAATAGGGATCACGATATCATGAGAATCCTCCAGCAGCGGATCCATGGGCACCCTGGCCTTGCTCTGAAAACACGATTTACCACTCTTGCAAAATGAGGGTCTACTTCCCCAATTACAAAGGCGATTTTTCGAATTCTTCAATTCTGGTCTATCTACTGTGATTGCTGCTGTGCAGCAGCTCATTCTTCCTTCTCTTTTTGCTCTTAGACGTTCCTTGCATCCCTAAGCTCCTTCTCAATCTGCTGTTGAGCAGCTCTCGCGGCCTTATCCATCTCCTTTTGCTCCTTTGCTGCCTGGTGAGCTCCCTTCCACTTCATCCACTGTGACATGATATCTGCCTCCTTCTGCTTCTTAAGAATAGTGTATTGCAACTTGGCATCCTTCTTACAGGCCTGTTCATCTCTTTTAGTGGCCTCCACAGCAGTCATCTGCTTGCAGATGCTCTGCACCTTTGCTGGTGAAAAGAACTGTGCCAATGATGGATTTGAAGGATCTAGCAACCCCATTGCTCTGCCATGCTTGTGACATCTTCTCTCTTGATTAAGAGCTTGCTGTAGTTGCCTGTTCTCTATTAGAAGAATCTCTTTATCAAAAGCAAGATTTTCCCCACATGAATCACTCAGTTGAGATTATGAGAGATTCGACGCTGCTGCTGCTTGACTTGCTTCATCAATTTCTGCATGTCAATAATAGAAGTAGAGGTTCTGAGTCAATATTGATCTGAGAGGGTGCAAGGGTGTATTGCAAGCTTTTTAAAAACCCGATCCGGATCAAATGGATATAGGCCAACTGCTGTGAATGTGAATATAATATTTGAAAGTGTAACTGCCTCCTTCCATGCTGCATCAAATAGCTGCCAAAAAGACCTCTTTGTAGTATGTATGAATCCCCTTCCAGTTCTCATTCATTCATTTAGTTGATTTGAGTATGATTTACCCAATGATCCAAATATTCCAACATCTAGCGGCTGTAATCGGTGAGTAAAATGGGGAGGAAAGACAGCAAGTAGAATCCAATGCAAAATCGCGTAATTGATGAATGCCATATTAATGTGGAAGGAGTGGCCATTCAATATAAGAAGCCTATACCCACGCCCTGCTTTCTTTTTTGTATGAGGTTCAAAGATCTTCTTTAATCACATTAACTCATATTCATCATTGCTCCATCCATTCTCTAAAGCAGCAAAGTAGGCCTGATCCTTTTCACTATCAAAATCCTTCAGCCAAGTATCTTGCATATTTCTTGATTTCTTTTGATATATGAGAGCAGATGGGAGTGAAGTTCCATCTGCATAAATTGAGGTCAGTAGTGTGATGAATTCACGACTGCCATTCTGGCTGACATCTATTGTATGGCCTGACTTGAGTGAACTAATCGATATAATACATTTGAGGGTGTGGATGAGGCCTAATAGGAATCCTTTTTCATCAAAGTTGTAGATATTCGCGGGTTCAATGTTGTATTTGATGATTTTTTTCCTGTAGCTGCAAATCAACATAAATTAGCAAGATAAAGCAAAAAAAGCAGTAGAAGAAAGCAATCTATACAAGATCAAAATAATGCTTGAAGTATGTAGAATTGTCTGCGATCTTGCATTTTTGATCGATATTTTGCAGGTAAACCGACTTGATGACATTCTTGTGGTGTTGCAAATGAACTTCAGCAGCAGCTCATTAAATGACTTCTCATATTATAACATCAACATTAGGCCACACAACCGGGCGACAGCTGTTGCCTATCTAGGGTCTCTGACCCCTACAGACTTTGTAGAACTGCTGGACTGCACGCAGTTCTACACACGGTACTGCACAAGGTAACGCAGCCGGCTGGCTGCAAACCATCTGACAACCCCGCAGCAGTTCCACGAGGCGGGCCTGCTGAGTACACCCACGGTAGCTGGTGCAACTGCCAGGGACATCACAGTCTATGCAGACAGTACAGATAGCACAACTAGGCTCATCTGTCTCAATTAGCTGTGGTGTAATCAGTACAGTCTACGTGTCTGACTCAGCTGATATGGTTTTGACTGCCGGCATTGTATCTACGCGTGCTCTGCTTTGTTTTCCTCTCGTTTGCCCTTGTCTCTATCGGCTCAAATGCTTCTTCTTCCTTCTTTTCTTTGCTCTCTCTGTCATTCTCTGCTCTTTTCCTGTCACAACCTTCTTCAGTGCTCTCTCCTTCATTATTTATCTTGTCTGTCTTTCTTCTGATGTTAGAAGCACAGACAGATTTCTGATCAACTGAGAGAGGTATCCCTCTCTGCTCACTATAAAGCCTTCCAGGCACGGCAGCGGCGGTCCCCTCAGGGAACCACACTATAGCCCCACCATGAATGGCCATACGTCGGGCCAGAAGTGGATGCGCAGCTCAGAAAAATCCTTTGCAATGAGCTGAGTCTTCTCAAGAGTTGCCACCTGGATTCTGTTTTCTCTCTCTGTGTACATAGAAATCTCTCCAGCGTAGCACGTCTCCATGCCCTTCGGGAGGCTTCTGAAACACGGGCGCTGCCCGTGTTTTCTCCGGGACGTTAAACCTATACATACATACATACATAAGTCATTGCTCAGATTATATAAAATACACAGTTTTTTTAATAAAGCTTCTTACTCTGCAAAAAAAGCTGTGTAAGAGGATTTTTGAATCATTAAAAATAAAAGAAAATATAAAGTTAAATCAATGTATTAAGATGATGTGAAAAGATCTATAAGTTAAAAAAAATTGTTGAGTGAAGAGATCTGTAATCATTAATGACAACAAACTCTAAAAAATAAAAAACACATCTGTAGATGAAAATGAAATTATTAATGTTATGAGATTAAATCTAGAAACTCTGATGCCATGAATTCTAATTGTTAAAATATTTGAATTTGAAACTATTTATTATGAAGAGATAGTTGAATCTACCATTGAATTCTTATTGCAGATTCAGAATAGAAACACTGATATATTTGAACTTTACAGAAGATTAAAGATGAATGATATTAATGTAAATGATCATTCAATCTGAACAGTAGATGAAGATGGCCTGCTTAGAAAAGATGATAAAATCTATATATTACAAAATAAAATTGTAAAACATGAAATAATAAAAATGAATCATGATAATTTTTAAAATGATCATTTTAAATGTGACAAAATCATCAAAGTGATCAAACATAAGTATTCATGATATGATATAAATGATGAGATTGCAGCATATGTGAGGATCTGTGATGTTTATCAATATATCAAAATACCACAGCATAAACTGTATGAATTGCTACAATCACATTTAATATTATATAAGAAATGATATACAATTAACATGAACTTTATTGAAAGCCTGTCAGATAATAAGAAAGGAAGTCAAACTTATAATATTATTATCATATTTGTTAATTTGTTCATTAAATGAGTCATAATTGTGCTCACATCTTCAAAATTAGATGCAAAAGAATTTGTGAACATTATTGTATAAAAATTTATGAAGAATTTTGATTTATCTGTGAACATTATTAACAACTGAGATTCATTAATAAACAGCAAATTCTGATCAACATTATGTTACTTACTTCATATTCAACAAAAATTATTGACAGCTTTCCATCCACAGATCAACAGTCAAATGAAATGATTGAATCAAATGATTGAACATTATCCTTACATGTATTGCAGCTATCAGCAAAATAACTGAATAAAATGGATTTCTCTGACACAATGAATATATAATAATGCCTTTCACACATCAATAAAAATAACATTTTCTGAAGTGATGATCAGCTGATCAACTGAACTTTGTATAGACATGAAACCCTCAAATATGAATACATCAAAATCAGTGATAGAACAAGTGAAATGAATGAAGCAAGCAAAAAACAAAATTTAAAAATGTTTAGATGTGATTCAAAGGTTGCTTGAGCTGTTCAAAGCTTCTAAGCTTTGCAGCCCTTCTTATACGAATTAACTAGTGCGGTAGCGTACGCCATCCTTGATAATAGGGGGTGGCGTACGCCACGGAAGAATAATAAGCCGAAATTACTACATAGAAACTGTTAAAACAACTGAGAAAAAGTATTATGATCAATATTATATATTAAAAAACTTTAAAATAGAGGATTGGATAATGCTGTGTGCAAAAAATATATTCACCTTGCAACTTTCACTCCAACTAAATCATCGATTTTTGAGTCTCTTTCAAATAATCAATATATATAGTATGCAAGTGTATAAATTGAAATTTATATTATAATATAAAGAAATTCATTCTGTGTTCTACATTTCCCTTCTTAAACTGTATCACACACACGATGGACAGATCCTACAGACAGAATTGATAATTATAAATATATAAAAAAAATAAGAAGTTGAAGCTATATTGAATAAACATCAATACTGTGATCAAATACAATATTTTATTAAATGAAAGAATTGCACAAACATAGATAATTCTTGGAAATCTGAAGAAAATTTGATGAACAGTTAGAAGTACTTGAAACAATTTAATAAAATCTATCAGAAATCAGGCAATAAATGAAAATAAAAAAGATGATAATGACTGCTGAATATATTTATTCCACTCAGAAATTAAAAAACAGATTCATCTCAACTTGATCAATGTCATTTGAAAAAATTATCATCAAAGTAAATCTGTTTATTATCTCAGATTTTTTAAACTGATGAAGCACCACATTTCAATAATGATTTGAGAGCTGTGATCAATGATGTAGCCACTGAAATCTCATCAATCATTCTTTCAATCAGAGCTTCAGAGAAATCATTTCATTGAATTTCATAAATTTTCATTGTGAAGAATTTAACTGCAGCTGTCACAATACTCTATAAAACATTAACATTTGAAATGTCTGCATTAGTGATAATTAAATTCTCAGTTGCATTGATAATCATTTAAATCAATTCAACAGCATTTATTAACATCTAACATAAGTTATTTTATATTCTGCAAAACATATATAGAAATTGAAATGCAAATATATTTCATCATTAAACAGTGCTTGCATTTCTTACATCAACTCTCAGCAGACTCACAATGATGATGAGAAGATGTTGTAAAATATTGAATACAATGACAATAATATACTGCTGTGTTTTTTTCTAACATCTCAATAAAATCATTCACTTTCTCATCTTCATCAGCATTATCAAACAATTTAAATAACATATCAAGATTCTTGCTCAGTAAGAATGATGTTAATATAATAGCAGAATATAAAAATGCATTTTCTGAAACATTATTATGATCAAACACCACATTTTGTTGTGACAACAAATCATTAAAGTTTATATAAAATTCTAGAACTCTATCTGCATTTTCATAAATCTGCATATTAAATATAAATTTCATAACAACAATTTGATATATAGCAAATCTTTCATTCAGAACTTCATTAAAGAGCAGCATTTTTTGAAATTCATTGATCAAAAATTGATCAGTTTTTTGAAAGCATTCAGACATTTATAATTTATTAGTATTTGTAAAAAATTCAATCTAAAAAACTTACAGCAACACAACTTCTATTCAATATATAATAAACATGACAATGTATGCATTTATCATTCACAAAGCAAGAATATACTGAAGGGTTTTGCAACCTCTCTAGACAATCCAAGCAAATGCTCTCAATGGCAGACAGTATATCACCCTTTATAGATTTCAAATCAACAACAGAAACAGCTGGTTTCAACATTCTGTCATAATTTTAAATCAAATATCAACATTTTTCAAGAGAGGAGGAGAAAGTAAAACCAATGAAAAAGAAGGATGAGAAAGAAAAACAGATGTTGATGATTGAAACCAATATTACAATATTGCAATATCAATCAAAGAAATTACAACAACACAAAACTCAACTCAAAATAGAAAATGCAATCATGCAATCAAAACTTCAAATGTCACAATAAAAATTGTATGGGAAGATACAGTGTACTTTGCTTGATAAATTCATGTATTCTTTTAAATAAAAAAATCGTTGTTGGTGATGATGGTGATGATCTTGTTAGGATACGATTTTTGGTGTAAAGGTTAAAGGAAAGGGGTTCAGGGGTTGTGCCTAAATCGTGATTGGACTGCAATAACAGCGGAGCCGGAGAAACGTTCTCCTGAGACAACATCACTTTGGAATTAACCTCCACAATTAATCCGGTCCTATCCTGCGAACTTTATACAATATCAACCACGCAGCACATATTACGAACTTCGCACATTGCAATAAGAAGCCCTGGGGACCAGGCCTTTGAAGAAGAGAGATAATTGTAATAGGCGGAACGGAGATATCTATATTAAGAAATAGATACGTGGCGATAGAAAGGCACGGAACAATCAATCATGATGAACGTAGGGTGGGGGCAACATTATCTATATAATGCTCGCTGATATCCCTTAATGTTAGAGATCAGTGATTAGCTTGAACAATAGAGA